CAATTAATATCCAGTAATCACCTGAACACACGCTTTATTATTTTCTTAGTATATCAATGATATGTTTCAGAGGCGGTGGTGTGAACGTAATTGAAATTGACGTGTAACTTACTCTACTGTTGTAGCTAGCAGTTTGCAAACGTCTTACATAAATATCGGAGTAGAATGTCACATGCTTGTTGTTGATTGCATTTCACCCCGTATTTCAAATTCGTTCCAAAATTAGACACCGCGGTGTCAAGGTAGCGACACGACAAGGAAAACATAAACGTAGAATCATTAATGTCACTTCTTGAATGTGTGGGTAGCTTTGCCATGAGTCCCTGTGACATGAACGAATCTGCCTTATTTGACTTTTCTTCTAGATGAACTACAACAGCGAGGTCCCTTCGTATGCGTTCACGTCACCCCATCCCGGTTGCGATTGTTACGGCTACTGCGTAGATGCGAGCGTGTGTGCTTGCCTCCAACTCTCCCAAGGCCCCAATTACAGTCAGTCCGAGCGTACGCTGTTGCAGCTACAGGTACCACAAGGGCGATTCCAGCGACCTGTCTTCGAATGTAGCTCGCAGTGTGCTTGCAAATTGGGCACTTGCAGGAACCGACTGGTACAATATTTCAAAGACGACACCAGTGCTCTGCATCTCTTCACAGCCGGTGAAAAGGGACTGGGAGTCCGTGCGACACGAGATATACGTCAAGGCGAATTCGTTTGCGCATTCTCAGGATATCACACGAGCCAGATGACGGCAAAAATCATTTCTGATGCTCAATACTCAATTTGGAATCATGTCTACGTGATGATTGTCCGCGAGTTTATTGGAGAAAATATTCACCCCGTGTTCGAAAGCGCAGTTGATGGCGCCTGTGAAGCCATCGACAACTGCGCCCCACATCCACTTACCTGCCGCATTAACCACTCCTGTTACCCCAACATGACAGTTGTGCCCGTCCGAGTTAACTCTGCTCAGCCCATCATGGCGTTGTTTGCGATTCGAGATATTGCCGCCCACGAGGAGCTATCTTATGACTATACTGAGAAGTCGCGTGAGGTAGCCATTCCCTCTTGCAAGAAGTGTCTTTGTGGAGCTTGGAATTGTCGACGATTTCTTCCACATTTTATCTAGCCTACAGGCTCTGCATTTATCCATCTGCCTGTTTTATCATCTGAAAACTCTGTAATATATGCGTCTACGTATATAACGATTTGTTTGTTATCGATATCAGCATAAGGAGGTGTTGAGCAACAATCAAACACATCTTTGTCGGCAGACGATCTAGACGGTTTCTGTGATGCGCACTTATTTTGCCTGCGAGCCTCTTATGGGGATGGTCTGATTTAATTGCGTGGAGTATTGTGTCACCATGAGAATTATGCATCACTCTAACACGATAACATTTTACGTGTATTTTTTCGTTTTTGAATTCCGTCAGCTTTACCAAAAGTGATCATGTGAAGTAAATTAATTTTTTGATTAGCCTGAGTGAGCTCTTACTCTCTGTTCAAAGATTCATAATCCGTAGTTCAGCTACGATGACAACATGTTAATGAGCTGATCAATAACACTGAATTTCAGATCAGAATGTAATGTTTACGTTTTGGATCTAGCGTAGGGATCAGCACGTTACTACTGTTTTCATAATTGCCCTACCCATGCCTTGTTAAGTTGGTTAATCACCCATCACGTCAAGTTCATTTTGACCAATATAAAAAGGCACATTTTGACAGGTTACTCGGCCTTTGGTTGAGATAGTAAAGGCTCCTTGCACGAGGTCTTGTTTTGTCTAACATCGGCGAGGTAGGGTGAGGTCTAGCGTCAGAACAGGTATCTGGGGTACCGGTTGTCTGAGTATGTGATTTTGTTCATGGGATAATTCTAGCGGTGCTTAATGGATCAGCATCTGAAATCGATGGCGACCTTCGCTTACCACCATGACCATGTAAACACTAAGCGGTGATTGCCAAACAGTTGTTGGCTTTAATTTTATCGTTGTAGTTGGCGTCAATGTCAATTTTATCGTTCGCACGCGAGCAGAGTGCCGTATCAAGCTACAGTCATATACGCACACCGTTGGGGATCCAGCATTCCCAAAGACGGCTCATTGTGGGTTAAAATTTCGCCATTGTTTGCACAATTTCTCTAACCACACCACTCTAGTGGGTCAGTCAGCCGCGGCACCCTACTGACAGCTTCAGTTGTGTTAATCCGCATCATCCATCACATTAAGGTCACCCTTGAAGAAGTGCAGTCACACAGATCACCCGGCCATTGGCTGAGGCGTTAAAAGCTCTTTACACGACGCCCAGCCTTATCTTGTATTATCGTCTGATTAGGGATCTGGGTACCGGTCATCTGAGGGAGTGTTGTAGTGGACCGACTGCCACCCCGCGTGAGTGATGCGCGCATGAGGGCCCGAGTGGACCAATGACTCATCCCCTCTTGTTATTGGCCTCTGTCAGCATTCGCCTGTCACGCACGCGCGCTCATGCGCACACAAAGCCACTTGGTTGTTTTGACACCAATAAACCAGTCGTGTCCGCTCCCGCCTCTTTTCCACTCTCCTCGAGTTGTCTTGGGCTGTTAATTTGAGGGTTGTAAGGTAGTGCGGGCAAAACGTAACACACACCAATTACAGATTGTGGAAAACAGTTGCAACGTATGCCCATTCAATGACAGCTAGCATGCAAAATGCTTCTGAAATTACAGCGCAATTTCAAATCTCTTACTCACTTGAGTACCTACCGTCACACTCTCAACTGATCCAATTCGGAAAAAGGTGTTTATTTTTCGCTGTCTTGACCAGAATGACAATAAGCAACGTGAATCAGTGAGATCTAATTTGCACTTGTCGATACCCACGTAGCAAAATCGAAAATATCTTAAAATTGAGAATCCAGTTTGCTTTGAGGCAGTACATTCGTAGTAGACCTCACAGTCAGTCGGGCTTGAAATAACGTTCGGTCACGACTTTATCCGAAATGTATCATACGGTGGTAATTAGGAAGGCCAAATTTGACTCTGTCTTAATCCCTTGTTAGTAGAAAAAGAATAGTGAATAAATTTTGTCCATGCACAGATACGGTATGTTAGCTGAATGAAATCATTTTTCTGAGGAAATATAGTGTTAATTTTTTTAACAAACCTCTTTGTTGAATTTGCATATAATTTAAATACAAATCAGGGAAACTTGTGTGGTGTGTTAATGAACTTCCATGTGGACCTTATTTAATAGCCCCTCGGATATGAAGCCTGTTGTAAATCGCGTTTGATTCACGTCGAATTACTCAGCCGTCGCAGTCCCAGACACACGTTACCCTTTTCACGGCCTTTATTTTAATCGAGAGGGACCGTCTGTTCATTCAAAACTTTTGCTGACGTATCCAGCAAGCGATTGTCTTCTCCTTTTTAGTCTCCTTACGTTATGCGCATTATGGCGTTGGGGATGAACGATGCACCATCCCACGGGTTGACAACTAAACAACACCTCAGGATCTACGTGAGTGTATTTTTAAATATTTAGCCATTGCATTCTAAAACGAAATATTAGCTGGAAGCTGGAATGCCTTACTGTGTGACGCGGTAATTTCGAAGTACAAGGATGCGATGCGCGCCATTCGATCCACGCACGCCGATCTGGCCTGTTCTTTGTCCTCCTCTCCCTTTCCGCACTCTCGCCTTCCTCAAGGCACCCCCGTGAGTCCGAGGGTAACGCCAACCCTCCTCGCAGCCATCACTCTCCCAAAGCTCTTGCCGTCTGAGTTTGCATGCGGTGGCATGGAATGCATCCGGTTCTTCCAGCTATTCTTCTATCGTGTGCCTGGTAGCTAACCATGATGGTGTGGCTATCTAAGAGGGACGGGCTAACAGTCATCTCCCTATTTAGGTCCCCGCTCGGGAGGCGCGTTACAAGGAACTAAGAACAGAAATAATGCCCTATGTTTTTGTGACTTCTAGTTAACTGGAAATCGGATAATGCAAAAATATGTGTTTAGATTTGAATTGACGAGGCAGATTGAGGCAACGCATGAGCCGTCCATTTTGCTTCTACAGTCGCGTGTAATACTCTTCGACTGGAAATACAAATGTTTTGAGGCGTGATTAAGGCACGAGCCTTCACGAATTAACGAGCGTTTACTCGGTTAGAGATCCTTGCAGAGTTACGCGTTTATAATTACGGGATAACTATGGAAATCCCCAGCAGTGTGATAACTGGCGCCACGTAAGGACAAAAATTCTACATGCAGGATTATGAAAAGAAAACGGAAGAACAATTTTTAATCTCTACTAGTTCGATCCCAGGAATGCAAATCGGAAAAAAGCACATTTCTAACGATTTTGATTGATTTATAACGCACAAATTCTCTTCCACAACAAGGATAAACAAGCTGATTTGAACGAAACACGGACAATGTCAAATTGAAAAGCAGGGGCGATTTGACTGGCTTTCATTATTGATGCAACTAGACACAAAACGGGAGAAACGCTTGACAGTACCTGGCTCCACAATTGCACGGCTTGCCCTTGGGTACAACGTCTTGCCCCGACCTTAGGCAATAATCATAGGTAAGTTCCTCGTCCTGTTTAATATCCTTAATTGCAAACAACGCTAAGAGGGGCTGCATTGTGTCAACTCGAATTGGCATAACTGCCATATTGGGGTCACAGGAGTGGTTGATGAGGCTAGTTATTGGCAGTTCAGTCCGGACGTCGGTTACGTTATGCGCGCCATCGACAATAGTCAGCGATGTTTGCTGGCCCTTGCTTAAGAATGTCTCACGCACGACCATCACATAGACGTGATTCCACTTCTCCAGTTGTTCTGCGGCCAGTGCTCGTGCCTCCTCAAGTTTGGGTTCTATGTAGTGGCCTTGGAAAACACACACGAATTCCCCCCGGCGTAAAGATCGCGAGGCTCGCACGCCTCGTCCTTTGTTCCCCACGTCGAACTCGACCAGAGCGCTTGTGTTGTGCTGACGTTTTTGAACTACTCTATTTATGCAGACAGTCTTTTGGCAGGAACATTTGCTTTTGCACTCGTAGATGGAGCGGGAAAAGTCCTGTTGCCACGGGAGCAACTGCAGCATCAACTCGTCTGTTGGATCATAATTGAGCCGTTTAGGGCGCTCAAGACAGGCACAGTCGAATAAGTTAAGGCAGTTGTCCTTGCAATCGCAGGCAGGAATATCCGAATCCATTTGCTGCATCTACAAGGAAAGAATAAGGCTGCATCCTCTGCGAGAGCATTTTTGCGCTAGTTGCATCAAGATCACAAGGTGACTATGATGCTACACCAGACCACCACTCTACGAGGCATCGTTATAACACACTACGTTCTCCACAGCCACGCTGCTCACAAAACAGCAAGTCAAAACAAAAAAACACGGATCTGATATCTGTGCTAGATCAGCATTTTTGTGGTATATAGTGTGTGGTCAATTCACAAAACAGGGAACACTTCAGGAATCAATCATACATTTTACCACAACTGACATCATGCTAATTCAACCAAACACATAGCCACTTATAGCATCAAAACGTACACAATTTTGCAAAAATTTGATTGATAACAGAGAAACAATTTATTATAACATAAGTGCTTGCTATTAGGAGCAACTATGGTACTTAATACATCATAGACCGAATTCTTGACTTTTGTTAAAGAATCGGTGATGTTATGCTGTATGGAGTCTGTGTTTCATAAGGCTGTAGGAATGTTTATGGTCATTGTTGAGTGGCGCGGTGGAATCAGAAAGCTGGCAGCAATTTTTTGCTTAAAAACTCCGATTTTCAGGCGTCGAAGTATCCTGCTCTATTCACCATAGTTGCAGCACGATTTGAGTACCGTTGCAGATGCTTTCGGCAGTAAACTAAGATGAATGAGATTTCAGCAAGGATGTGCATTCACGCAAAGACCAGTACTGCTATAAAATCTGAGTAATAAAACAGATGCAATAAATTAATAAGCTTACTTCGAGATACTTATGCCTCACCTGAAGTCATTCACGCCTAGAGAACCCTAATAGCCATGCAAGAAATTAACGCATCAAGCTGTATTACCTCGTATATGGGGATGGCATCAAGTCTATACCGTTTTACCGGCGCCGATATTTGCTCCTAGAGATCGCAGCACAGAACAGTGGACCTCAGTTGTGTAAAAACATCAAACACTTGCAGTGGTAATGCAGATTCTAGCCCAGTTATGTCAGTGGAGACGCATTTAGAAAGAAGAAGGGCTCACTTGGTGCCACGACTGCTTAATAGCAAAAACAGGCAAACTTTTGGTGCTCCATTCGCCCATGTAGTACAGTTCACACAACGTGAGCCAATTAGCAAGTGAGCTAAGGACGTCACATGAACAGACTTCAATCACAACTGACAATTCTATTCATCAGTCCGTGTGAATGACGTCTCATTTGTGACCATTGGTAGTGACTATCTTTGATTTTTACCATAATCCCAACTCCGGCTCACGAAAATGACTGTGGTTCCATCAATTATCCGCGCATGAGTTGGTTAGTAGGATTGCGAAGAGAGGTGGTTCATTTATGTTCTACTTTTTTGTAAATCAACGGAAAAATTTCAAATAAAGATCCGTAAAGTAAATTACTCCAATTATATGCTAATGGAAATTCACTGCCATTATCGTCATTTCACTAAAGTAATGCCAACGTGGTTTGATGCATCTCTGAGCTGACCGTCACATCTGGATCAGTGGCTAATTGTGGATTAACTGAAAGCAGGCTATACATGCCTGGGACCATTTCTGGACGACATGAATAAGCTATTTTATTGAAATTAATAAGAGCAAATCTGGTTTTGTGTGCAAGCATGATCAATCAGATACGCCAATTCTGTGTTAGATGGAATCCCCACCGAGATGCACACGATTTTATTGATCAAAATCGCTCAGAAATGTTAAGATTATCTAAACGACAGCCAGTTTATCTTTGCAATTTAAGTGTTGTTGGGTAACTTTATCTGGGGCTAATGAAGCTCATGGCACCGTTGGAACCGTAAGGCATTTCCAACGGCAAGCTGATACGGAGAAAATAAACCTAACTCCACGTGAAGGTACAAGCGCAATCCAATGACACAAAATTCCAGTAGATAGGCCAAGTGAGTAGCCTCTTTACCCGCATTTTAACGTAAACTACGCCCATCGCAAACGATGGTACGTCTGCAGCAACATGTCTTCATGAAATGCACTTGAGAAAGGTGGCTACCGTTCTTACTGGACGTGAGTGATTCCTCTTGAGCTCTGCTTAACATTTGTTCACTGAATTGAATGCTAATCCCTAGCTGCGGTAGGATTCATTCCGGCACATTTCGGTGGGACTTCTATACGAGACTCTGGTGAGTTATGCATGATAAATGGGATTGCACGAAGCCGGGATTGCCATACCAAGAGATTAGTGACATCAACCAACTCATGGGGCGCCCTTGTATGCGTGGTAGGTAAGAATTAGGAGAGACATGCACAGCACATCAACATTACTCTTCGAAGCCTTAACGTCACTAGCTGGTGCAGAGCCATTTGATATTACGGCATCCGAGCTTCGTGCATTTTAATAATTGACTTCAGACCCTCAACCTTAATGCTTCTTATGCATTCTCACTTTCTACCTGCGTTGCTTGCTTAGTGAGTGCGGAATCTCCTTAGAGGGCAACGAGTTGGCGCACGTGTGGTATAAGTGTAGTCTCATTAATTTTTTAACGCCTTATTACCTAGAATGGCTGACGTCCAAAACATTCTATTTTAACTTTTTAAAAGGGTAACTAGGTATGATGCTTCACTGCATGATATAAACACAAATGACCACACAGACATGCTTAAATTTGCCAAGTCGGTATTCCGTTGGTAGGCATATATAGTCGCGAAATTAAATCCCATCGACTTCTATTTTATCCCAAACAAGGCCCCACCATACGATCATGGACGTCACTAACTTATTTGACATGTAGATTTTGCAACTGTTTCGCAAAAATGGTGCCTCATTCTGCTGTAGCATGACGTTCCGCTGATTAAAACCTTAGTTATCAGTTTTTCCTATTAGAACAGATGATATACAGCGAAGAATTAACGGTTGGTGCTATCACAAACCGAGTTCGCGGCTGTAATTGCATTCGCCCTTGCGTAGACGAGTCAACGTGTTCTTGTATGCGCCGCTCTCTAGGTCGCAACTACAACAGGTCGCATCGTCTGTTAAAGGTGATAGGTGAGCAAGATCAGTACCAGCGACCTGTTTTCGAATGCCACTCGGAGTGTGGTTGCCAATTTCTTGGTTGCAGAAATCGAAATGTCCAATACCGTCTTGGCGACACCAGCCTCTTATCTGTCTTTGATACGCGTGGCATGGGTAGAGGAGTCTGCGCAACACGGAATATCAGGCGAGGTGAATTCGTGTGTGTGTACCAGGGAAGGTACATGAACCCAGCGAACGTACATACTATCGCCGAAAGACAACTTCGAACCTGCGGTAACATCTACGTAATGCTTGTCCGCGAATATATTGGGTTAAATAATTATCCCGTAGTAGAGACAGCTGTAGATGGTGCTCAGCCCAGTATCACTGATTCCAGCAGGTGGCCCCCTAGCGCTTTTATCAACCACTCGTGCCAGCCCAATATGACAGTTATTCCCGTCCGAATCGAGTCATCAAAAGCCTACTTGACGCTGTTCGCAATTCGTGATATTAGAGAAGGCGAGGAACTTACGTATGACTATACCGAAAGGTCGCGTGAGGTTGGTGGACAAACGGACCGGAACTGTCTGTGTGGATCATCAAGTTGCCGAGGATTTCTTCCAAATTGCATCTAGAAGAATCCACAGGTATCTAGTTAACCTCTGAAATGTATTGTGTCGTACACATTAGTGTAATAACACACTTTTCACTCATTTCCATCGGATCTTTTATTTTGGTCTGAATAAGTCGAATTAGATCCTGAAGAGTCACATTCATACTACTGCACACATTATCCAAGATAGGAGCAGTAATAGGAGATAACGGTTGCTCAATCTGAACTAGGCGAATGGCTGTTTTTGACATCGGATCTCGGGCAAGAACAATTTAATAAAACGAAGCCTAACAAAAGGCCAAATTTGGACTGACGTCGGTTTTTAGCAAGACCACTTGAAAGTAAAGTATAAAGACGCTGTCAAGGTTCAGGTAATCTCAACATTTGCGCACGGTTTAGATAGATAAAACCATTGGCTACTTAGAGGGATGGCATCGAACGCAGAACGCGCGTGGCAAGTTCACCCAGGCCCTTTTGGCCAACGATGACACCTGAGTCAGGCATCACGCTACCTTGTTGCATTATCTAGCAAACGGTTGTATTACACTCTTTGGGGTCAAATTTATCTTTGCACGTATTAGAACAGTTTAATTTGGCTAAATTTAATGCAGCAGCTCCGGTGTGATTTGGGACAACAAGTCGGAGCTTTCACCGTCGCCTTTCAAAATGAAGTTGGCATTCAAGACGACAAGGAATGTTAACTTATGTCTTTTGTTTAAAGATTGTCAGAAATGGTAAATTGCTTTGGATGTCTTATCGCTGTTTGTTTGATAATGGGCAGCCGGGGTATTAACATATTCGGTCAGCGGCAAGATAACAATGTTTGGTATTTTTGATGAAATATGTAGATTAGAGGTTATTTTGACAAATGAATTAACTGGGCATCAGAGAATTAACCAATAACCTCAAAGAGTGCTATCATCGACAGGTTGCTCGAATTGGTGTAGCAGACGAGAATTTAACTTTTGTGCAGACGTTGCTTATGAGAACATCAATAGGAATAACACCGAGGACAAAGACACCAATTAGGGGTCAACATCCCACTGCAATCTATTCCTAGTCGTCACCACTGTGGGATCCCATGAAATTAATAGGATTTAAACGTTCATTTGCAAAGTGTAAGTTTGTGAAATAATAGGTCACTTTCTAAAGATAATTCTGGTACTGGCTGAGGCCGGTCCTACGTTCAGCTCTTGCTTTACCCACCTGGGAACACACGAGCACACCGAGGCATGTGATTGGTCACACTGGGGAGAATAATCGACACATCAACTCCATTGGCTCCGTGGAAGCCCTACTAATTCATGTGCAGATCCTTCAACCGCAAACAAGGTTCGGCGTTCGAGCTAAGGATTAGGAGTTGCGGCTGATCAGGATGGGCATGCGTGACTAACTGCTCGTCGTTGTGGCCTTGGCGCATGACATTGTCATTGAAGCTGAGTAGTCGGCAGAAGCTGACAAAGTGGCTAAGCTCCCTCTGCTGACACCCTGAAGGTGGGGGGGGGTCCATCGATCCTGAATAGACTGCACCAAAACCGAACTGTAGCCACAACCAGGTAGAGCACGGTGTCTGTATAAACGTATTACTCGGCGACCTGTTTACATGCCTCTTCAAATATTCTTAATCGTTTGCATCAATGCAGACCTTAAGGAATAAGTTGGAATCGCTTACTGACGGATGGCGACACAGGATTTTGTTTTGTCACTCAAATTGAGAATGCCAGACACGAATGTCAATTAGGCATTGCCTTTTAGTTTGCGAGATACCGACAATGCCCAATGCGATAGCTGATTGCAGACAGATTATACAGTTATTGATTCCACCTCACTGGTCCTGCTAGAGGTGTGTGTAGCCAATGGCAAGGACTGTCGTTGTATAGTCAGTTACTTCCACGAATTTACCTCACTTTGAGTTAGGCGAACTGTTCAGCCTCCTTGTTTTTTTTAGTTATTTTATCAGAGATAATCTTCGTCGTGTGATGGTGAATACACGCTTGACTTCCGACGCAAAAATACCCAAACTAAGTTCGTGTTGCGTATCTGCAGGTCCGATACATGATTTAAGCAGATGTTCAACAAAGGTAATTCTAGTTAGCCCAGTAAAAATCGTCATAAATGAGCCATTTGTAGTTTTGTTTGCCTTTAGAAAAAAAGGTGTACTGTCAGTTGAAAGTAGCTCCGATACAATATGGTTGTAGCATATCTTTCAAGTCAGCACTTACAATTTAACCCCTATTTACGGGTACAAATAAGTCGTCGCTTATTTAATCGAGGTGATAAGAGGTTTTATTCAATAAGCATAATTAAACTAAGGCCATATGTATGCTTATGGGCGTTTAATTTTGGACACAACTATGAACCGCATACTCAAGTAGCCGGTACCTCAGATCCCATGTCTTACGCTATCCCCCACTTTCCCAGCCCAATAGAAGACGTTTCCTCGTGCAGAGACCTTCAGTGTCTCAGCCAGAGGCCGAGTGATTTGTCTGAGCGTGTCCATGGACGACTTGGATCTGGTGGATGAAGGCGCATTAACAGAGATGCAGCAGTCAGTAGGAAGCCGTGGGTGACCCACAAACTAAAGCAGCGTGGTTAAGCAAATTGTGTAAACATTGACAATATCCTTGTAATGAATCGCGTTGATTCACGTCCAATTACCCAGTCCTCGCTGGTTCCAGCACACGTCCCCCCTTTTCATGACCTGCCCGTCGGTCACGTGAGGCCGCTGGTTCATTAACCACTCTGCATGGCCTCACAGACACCTGTATTCATTTTTGTACACGTCCACCCAACCGTAAATGTACACGGTCGTGCCTGCCATCTCTAAACTTATCGTCTTCCCGGGTTACTTCTCGTGGTAAAATGTCTTCAACATCCTAAACCACGATGAGCCGTCATGAGGAACCCTGGATCCGCGAAAGTGTGTCAACTCGTTAGCGTTTTAAAAGATTGCGTACAATCCAAGAAAGCAACGGGGGTGGAAATTGAAATCAAGGCCACTATCACTAGCATCATTGTTGCATACGTGTTTCTTTTGATTACCAGTGTTAAATTTGTCTTCATTGCCACACCATGAGGTAATGCTGAGACGCAGAAATAGCTTACATCGATGTCAAATTTGTACATGGAAACGGTCGAACTGGAATCGAGAGATGATGATGCAGATAATTTGAAGGTACCTTATTAGAAAACGACTAATTGGTGGTTTGACCGTAATTCCAGCAACGCACAACTCAATGCTTTCTTAAAAGCTTGTTCCTGCCGAGAAAATCTGGCACACGAGGTGTGTGCCCGAGAGCCTTTGGCAGTACCGGTTGAATGGCGATCCAAGGATCAAGTGCTGTTCTCGAAAATGCAGTTGCCACCCGTGATCGTGTACGACAGGCAACTGAGCAGGTAGGTTTAGTTGGGGTGGAAAAGTGCTAGTTATTCTAATAGCACGATTATTTTCGTAAACAATGATTCCATTAGCTCTCTTTGAATAACACAAATTGTTGTTTTATTGTTGTGTCTATCATAATTCGGGGAAGTGAAGCCTATAAAAATTAAACAAATATGAAATAAGACGTAAACAACTGATGCATCTTCAACAATTTGATTGCTTCTAAAATGTCAGGAAATCATTGCTCGAATCATTTTACCAAGAATACAAAAAGAGACGGCTTGCCTAGTCTCTTCTAAAAGTCCAGTCAAGGTTTTTCTTGGAACACACAAGGCGTTTAAGTCTTGCTGCTTTTTAGGTCCCCCATTTGTTTTTGGCCTGACACTATGGGTTTGAAACCAGGGCACTTTCCGCAGTCGTCAGCATATTGCTGATGGTTTCCTTCGAGTCTGAGGCAGGTCTTTCAATTTAGAACAGAACCAGAGCTTCAGTCAAATTGATACCGGTAATTTGTGGTTGCATTTAATGCTTTGGTTAACCATCAACGAAATAGGAATAGTGGTGGTCACCAACTCTCTCCATTTATGCCTGGTTCAACGGGTTAATTCGAAGAAACCTCTTTGCCAGTTTTAGTTTCACGCGGGATGTGATAGTTCACATTTAAAGAGCATTTTCATCTTTTCTTGGGAGAAAATGGTAGCATGCTAAGCCAGTGAAGCTGAAATTAATAATATGCTAAAGAACAAAACACAGATTAAAACAGTGAAGTCGCACAAAAATATTGCGAGTTGCCAGGTTGTTGAACGTCAGTTTGCGTAATCGATAAAGGGTAACAAATAGTTCCAAGTTAAAACCCCTGTTGAATTCGCCACCAACCACTCCAGTGCTAACACAAACTCCTGACTGCGTGCATGCACAATTTTGACTTAGCCGTAGGTCAAGTTATATGTTATAACGAACACTGTAGAATATCCGAGCCCAAGTATGAACAGGCTTTATTGACCAATCACAAGCTAGAATTACACGTCAGGCGCCGTCCATCCGAGTTCGCCAAGCTGGCCACGTCGCTCATTAGATACTGCTCCTTAGTCGTGTCTGTCTCTGGTTGGCTGCATATCTTCCTCGCATGCCACTGGATCGCAGAGAGACAGAGGATTGGCTGAGGCCAGTGTCGACCAATATGTCTGCTTCCTCAGACATCGCCACAACTGCATGGATTGGCTTTAGGTGTCCTTGAACCTATGAATTAACACAGATTAACATGACCGAGAGTTACTTCAGGGACGTCCAAGTGGACTTACATGTTAGACGAGTTGTGCAAACATTGACGAAATCCCAGCATCCACAACAGCCCAGACTGTCATTGTGAGGGAACTGATCCACTTGCCACCGACCACTGTCTCAAATAGTGTACCGACGGTTCTTTCACATGAACAAGAACCCAATAGCACTTACATCGCCATTGTCTTTGCAGAAACTCTCTAACTGCAAATCATGCGCATAAAACTGAGCAAATGTGCTTGAAAAGATTGTGGGATGTAGTGGACACCGAACAAGTCGGCAATTTTGATAAGATTTCAGGCATCAAACAGGCCATATGTTGGATTTTCACTGAAAACATTTACTTGGTGACGATTTCTCAAACATTTTTGATTAACTGCACCACTGATTCAAAAGCCATGTTTAAATGCTAATATATCATTTCTTTACGTTTGGTTAGGCAAAACGTTTATGCACGGATACATTGCAATAACAATTAGACCGGTAGTGCATAATAGAGGTTGCTGTAGTTTCCTAGAGTAGGTTGAATGATAGACATAAGCGGAACATTCTCTATTTTCCGGGAAAACAACGCAATGTGGTGGAAACTCTGCCGTTTAACAATGTTTTTCTTTATACTTGCCTGTTAAAGAAAAAAAATGCGGAGAATCTATCAACAGTTGGGTCTGCAAGCAAATGTGCTCTTGCTTGGGCGAGGTGTGAGTGTGCATAGAGGAGTAACCCTTGCTGACCGCTCTATATTCCGCAGATCGTTCGATTGACCAACCACATCGCGAGCGTGTGTTGGGTACGTGGAGCAATCACCACCTAGAATGATTTGGGGTAATATGATTACCAGACAGTGGTGATTTACTCTTATTGACCTAAAAGCAGTGTAACGCGCTGATCTTTTGCAATCCCTGCTGATGAGGTTGCCAAGGAGACGGCGAACACACACAAACTCAAATCTTCTGATTAATGTACAATTTATTTATTGAGTAAAACTTAGATTTCACACAATAAACTGATTTTCAAGTTTTCTGACTGAGAAACGGCTTAGGTGATCTCTCATTAAAACGTTAAAGTAGACACACAAAATGTGGTAATAGATGCTAGAATATTGGCGAAACTTAACGTAATGAGACTATGCATTGTCTCTAATTTTCGTAGAAGTGGTGTAAATAGCCCCTTCTGGTTTACTTCCACGGGCGTGGTTTTTATTGCCCAATATAATGGTGTTTTTATGGCTGTTTACTGTAAAAACAATAAAACAAAGAAAATTATGATTGAAACATACGAGGAGGTTTGCAAACAACAATTATTTTTTAGTACCAGGCCGTATATTAATGAATTTTAATGAAGTTGTCTGGGTTAGGGCATATGCTAACCTCAAGATGAAGCAGTACTTCTAATCGTTACTGCTTCCATTCTGCTGCCAGATACAGAACAACGGTCGACGAGATTAAAGTCTTCAGTCGTGCTTATAATTGTCTGTGTGTCCCTGTGATGTCTCAATTATTGATTAGTAGTCGTGTTGTTTTTTAACGTCACGCGCCATAAACGAGGTTTGTAGTTAATCATAAATGAACAGCGACTTAAATAACTTAACAAACTTTAAGGTGTTACATGAGGCCCAGCGCTAGTTGGAAAGTGTTGGGAATATCTGACCTATAAACACACACATGTAGAAGCCACACACGACACTACTTCATTCAGAAATGCTAATTCCGAGTGAAATATACCTGTTTAACTTCAGTTATCACGCGAAGTTCTCCAATAAAGTGCCATCTGCTTACAGGTGCGCTTGATCCGTACACACACACAGTCCTGCCTGCTCACTGATCGTAACCTCAGTAGGCGTTGACAGCACAGGCCATGATTCGGTGTGAAGCAAAACACTTGGAACCTTGAGTTTGTTGTGGAACTTGGAGAACCTTTCAGCACGTCGGAGTCACCAATTGTTGTGGGCCCCCGCATGTGGTCTTGAACCACGCCAGGGCCATGGAATTAACCCTGGCCCGATAACGCTTCCCTAATATCCGCGATGAAGGAAAAGACCGGAGAGGATGTGAAGACAACAGTTTACTTTAGAGGTCAGTCATCGTTGTGTCGTGTGTATTTATACCTCGGATGTGTGAGTCGTAGATGCGCTAACATCGAGAATTAGGTGTGAGGATAATCCAAGATATATATCTGGGCGAATAAGAGGGGAGTTGAGGATCTGCGCAGCTGGCGACATGCTGGAAAAGGGGCAACCCTGTGTCGTAGGGTGGAGCGAGTGGATTGAAGAGTGTGAATGAACACGATTATACAAAAAGCCCTTAGTTTACCCCAGTGCACTAGCCAAACTGGTAGTTTCAAATTATCTATGTCAGATGCACGTATATTGCAACAGTCGGCCTTACACTTATTTAATAATAGAAAAGAGCTTTTGTGTCCACTTGATTCTCCCCAGGAATTTTAATATCTAGCATTGTGAGTGTTAATTGCATGGTAGTCACGAGGCCCTGCAGTTCACATAAACATTGGTAGAAGGAAAACAAATGACGCGGTTTCATTGGCTTGATGGAAGGAGTGGCTCACAGTTCTATAAAATCGGGTTACATGAACCTCACAGATCAACATTTCAGGATGAGGTCGTGTTTACTGAGTCTTCTAATTGCTCTTGTTTGCCTAATTGCAGTCAGTCCAGCTACCGCCAGGGTAATACCAAAGAATTACCCCCAGGACAGCGTTCAAAAAAGTGACGAGACTGCTGAGGGTAAATGTGGATGTGCTGGCTCGGGGATATCAATAAATTCTAGCAATGATAACGAAGATTACGATGAAGAAGATGACGAAGGGGATGAGGATGAAGACTATGATGATGAATTTGACGACGAAGATGAGGATGATGAAGATGACGATGAAGACGACGACGACAATGATGATGAAGATGAGGATGAATTTGACGACGGTGAAGATGAAGACGACGAAGATGATGATGAAGAAGATGAGGATGAATTTGACGACGATGAAGATGAAGACGATGGAGATGAGGATGATGAAGACGAGGATGATGAATTTGATGATGAGGATGATGAAGATGAGGATGAAGATGTAGACGACGAAGATGAAGACGACGACGACGAGGATGATGAATTTGATGATGAGGATGAAGACGACGAAGATGAGGATGAGGACGAAGACGACGTGGATGATGAATTTGACGACGAAGACGAAGATGACGAAGACGAGGATGATGAAGATGAGGATGAATTTGACGACGATGAAGATGAAGACGATGGAGGTGAGGATGATGAAGACGAGGATGATGAATTTGATGATGAGGATGATGAATTTGATGACGAAGACGAAGACGACGAAGATGAGGATGATGAAGATGAGGACGAATTTGACGACGATGAAGATGAAGACGACGAAGACGAGGATGAAGACGACGAAGACGAGGATGATGAATTTGATGATGA